TTGCTTCTAAGTTTGGTTATGGCATTCCTAGATAACTCATGTATCATCACATTCGAAAACTATCGATAACAGGAGCTTTCTTACTGTTAAGCTTTATAATGACAGTAGTAACTTCATTAAGTGAAGAGAGCTCGCTAGCATTTAGTGCTGCTGGAGTAAGGAGCCATTCTTGAAAGTGATTTTCATCCTATCGCACTAAGTTTGTATCCACAGGCATAATGTTCGGCATGAATTACTTCTCTTGGTGGGATGCAAAGACGTGACGTTTTTCTAGATAAGCGTATGCTGTAGCTTCATTTGAAACAATGGGCTTGGCATATTCATGCATCTTGTTCAATATTTTTGTTTACAGAAGCCATCATTGTTCATTTTTAGTTCGGCAATTTTGTATTTCATAATTCCTTTCTATGGGCTTGAATACTCTGTGTAATCATTTTACTAACTGTTAAATTCCGTTTTGATAAGAGGATCGAAAGTAATATTCCATCATCTGGGAAGCTTATTTCTTTCAGTAACTAGCTCCTTGATGAGTTTTGAGAATCTTGTGGAACTGTTGTCGTGGCTTCTTGATAAGCGTTATTTAGATTAGATCAGGAATCTGTCTATTTCAGCATCAGTATCGATAAGGTTTTTCAGCTGTGTTATTCGTGGCTGATATATTTTCGTTAGATTAGGATACAATCTCTTATCCGTGAACGTTTTAAATTTGACAGTAATCTCTCTAGAGATTCCCGATGTAGGCAGGAGAGGAATATCATCAGGGATAAGTTCTTCAGGTACATCTCGAATAATATTAATTCCAGTACCAGGTAGTATTGTATATAAAATGTTGGGCATGTGGCCACTTGTGAGCAGCCTATGCGTGGGTGCAACATTCCATCTGTTCTCCGAAACTGTTACGTAACATTTTTCCATTTGCATTAGTGCTTTTGCAGCTCCACTCTCTATACTTCTGTTGAAATCCCCATCAACATTCACTGATAGGAGTCAGAAGGATATTCGTGAGAGTCGGTCAGCTTGCGGGGTTGTAGAAGATTGCGAAGAGCGTGTACCCAAGTCTTCACATTGTTGTGAGAAGATCACAATCTCATAACAGTTAGCTCTATCAAAGGAAACCAAGCAGGGTGATAATTTACAGTGCACATGCACGATTATGCTTCCCTCTTCCAGGGCTACAAACAATCATATCGGTAGGATTTGTAATTTTTGATTCTAAAATTGTCTTCGGGGCAGGCGAAAGACTTTTATTAAGTGAACTATGTCTGTTTATCTTAAATTCCGTATTTATGATAGGCCCATTAACAGACAAATTGTAAAGTCGCTGAACACTAGTATTCCGACCGTGGTTCGATTCCAGGCTAACGGGCTGACTGCATGACATTTTCGTGGTTTTCTCTATATATATACGAGTCAGTTTTTCTTAGAAAGTTCTCCACGAAGGCATCCGTTTTCTTAGTCGGATAGCCTCGCATGCTTTGCCATAATTAAATAAACTAAACCAAACCTTATTTCTAATAATAAGTGCCCTTCGAACGTGCGGATGACGAATGTAAAGAATCGTCGTCTTGCACATATTACATCTGTTACGCTGCCTGTTGCTCCAATCTGTGGCTTCGCTTAAGGTTACGTTTCCATGCTTAACTCCATGCATTCCTCTGATCCCGCCTACGCTACGAACGTTAAATTCAATTGCGGTTCATTATTATTTTTGTTACTCGTTGTGTTTATTTTTCTTTGTTCTTTCATCTGTCGTATTGCACCTGTATTAGGGATAAATGTTTAATAAAGACGTCGCCGATTGCAGACGAAAGCAAAACTTTAAACTCAAACTCAAGGAGACCGAAATGAAGAAAAGTGGTAAGGAAGTAATATGAATCTGTTTACTTACAGGATCTGTCCATAAAGTAACAAGATTGAATTTTTCGCGCCAAGCAAAAGGCCAAAGGGGTGGCGTTTGAGGGCGTACGGGCGGTGGAGGCTTTAAGCTACAAAGTGTGGCCAGTCAGTTGTCCTTGAGCCGTTGCAGGGCACAACTTGCTTGTGAAGTAGACACGCGTTTGAAAGTGGCCTTAGGTCTTCAAGAATGCAGTGGATTATGAAGCAGCGATACGCCATAAAGTTTTGTGTAGAAACTAAAGAAATCCGCTAATGAGACGCTTGCCATGTTACAAGAGGCCTATGGGAAGGATTCTTTAGTGTGTAGTTTAGGTGGCACAAAGCCTTCAAAGACAGATGAGAGGACGTTGATGACGAACAACGCACTTAGCATCCATCATGTTCTCGAACTTCGGACAATGTGGCTAAAATAGAAGCACTTTTAAACTCTGATCGTCGGAGTGTTCGAATGATTGTGTTGTTGCAACTTACACAATCGACTGTGCATCAGATCGCCAGGGAAGATGAAAAAAGGAAGAATTCAAAGGAAATATGCGTAGAAAATCAGAATGCAGAAATTTGTGCCAAGCTGGTTCCAAGTATTTTGACTGATGGACAGAAAGAAAACCGTGAGTCGATTTCGCATGAGTTGTTGGAGTGTAGTATATGATCTTAAGTTTTTGAAGCGAGGTGAAGAAACGTGCGTTTTTCAGTTTGTTCCTAAAACAAAGATACAGCCTGCACATACCCCAATCTCCTCGTCAAAAGAAGGCTCTAGTGAGTAAATTAAAATGAAGTCCTTGCTCATTGCCTTCTTGGCCAACAAGGAAATAGTGCACAAAGAGTTCGTAACCCCCGCACAAACGGTTAACGCAGATTTTTACAAGGGAGTGCTTTACAGGTTGAGGAATGAAAACGCGCGCGTCCGCTGGGAGTTCACAAACAATTGGATTCTGCACCACTCTAATGCACCGGTTCATACATCCTTCAAAAGAACTCACTTCCTTCCAAAAACAACGTCACAACGCTGCCCCAACAATCGTACAGCCCCGATCTGCCACCGCCAGATTTCTCCTGTTCCCTGTGTTAAAATCCATCTTAAAAAAGTAATCGTTTTGACATCTTGAGAAAAACGTAACACGTGTTCTGAACAGCATTTCAGTTGAAGAAGTACAAGCGGGCATAAATAGGTGCAAGAGGCGTTGGCAAAGTTTTATTACTGCAGCAGGAGACTATTTTGAAGAATATTAAGTAAATTATCTTCAAATAAAAATTGTTTCAAATAAAAGAATTTTATGGAATCAGTTTCATTACTTTTTTGACAGACGCTGTATCATTAAGGTTTTTCATCGAATGAAGATGAAGATAATCCCAAACCTGAGTGTTATTTGCAGTGAAGTATTTTCAAACGAAATTTTGAGCCCAAGTAAATTACATCGACACCTAAAGGTAAATCATCTCGATTTAAAAAAAAATCAAGCTTAAAATTTTCAAAATAAATGTAAATATGTTGAAAATATCAAAAACAGAACGTTTTCATTTAACCAAGATCACCGAAAACACTGCGCACGCTTCATATCTGATTAGTTATAGAATTACGAAAACTGGTAAACCGTACATAATTTATGCTCTCGGCGATAAAGGATGCAGCTTGAAAGTAAAAAGTGCTTATAAGAAGTCGAAACAATACGATTTTCAAACAAAACAGCAGCTCGCAGAATTGATGAAATGTCCCAGTGAGTAAGAAATCAACTGATACAAAAAGTACTGGAAGTAAATTTTCCTCAGTGCAAATGGAAAAATCTACTGATATACAAGATTTGTCTTGTACAAGATTTGTTTTCATGCTTTAGGTTTGGAACCACAAATTGCATTAAGATATGTTATTTTGTGAACCAGTTGTTCGAGGAGTGAAGAAATATTTAAGACTCTCGACTCTGATATAAAGTGCAAAGATTGGATAAAATATGTCAGCATATGTGCAGATGATGCTATGTGTATAGCCGAAACATCTCCATCAAAGGCTGTTCGAAAACTTTCAATAGAGAAATAAAAAATGAACAGGCCACAAAAAGATTCTCGCTCCAGTATTCGGTTGGTCATTAGAAAACGAGCCATCAGTATAGATACTTAGCTAGTCAAAGTTCAGAGTGCCTGTTGTTTAAAGTCTCCAGAGCAAGGTTGCGAAGAACCTCAGGAGTAGTATATCATTTTTAGAACGGAGTATTGAAGATTTAATTTCGTCCTTATTTCATGCGTTAGTCAAGGAATACGTTCTTTCAAAAACCTACTGTTACAGGGAGAAAAAGAGAACTCCTACAGTTCAGGACTCTCTGAATAAAACCCCTTTGTGTTTTAAGATTATAAGGAAAGTTCTGATAGTTTTTTTTCCCAAAGACATCATAAAGATGTAATAATTCTTCGTATAAAATGATAGCTGTTTCTCCTCAAAGACTGTCTTCAATGATTTAATATTTGTCAGTAATAACATGGAGTCAATAGGCGTAGTCTTAACCGCGCCAGTAATAAGCCTGAGGGCTTGATTTTGTATGATCTCCAGCTTGTTATCAGACTTTCGGACATAGTTATTAGTGGTTCACAAGCGTACACTGACAGAATAAAAGCACCGTAATTAGTAACGTATATTGAACACGCACATCCCCAAAGATTCCATAAATAATTAAAAATAGACAGTAATCTTTCCAATGCACAATCCCCAAAGTGCCTCAGAAAATCAGCATGAATACCATCTTCTTCAGGGGATTTTCCTATTTTTAGACCTCTAAGAGCAAGCAGTAATTTCTATTTACGAAAAGGAATTTCAAAGACCAAGATTTTTGGTAGTCTCATTCGTTGATGCTAATTCAGCTTTTTACCATTTCTTCGTAATAAAAGCTTGACAGTCTCCCAGCAAATAGTTGTTTCCTTTGGGATTTAGAATAAAACTTTCCAAAAGCGTTAGCGATTTCACTGTCATTATGTAGAGTTCAATTATTCGAATGTATTGGCTGTTATAAGGGATTGGAAACCTTATTTTGAATATTAGAAAGGAATCTATATGTTTTTAAACTGTCGTTCACAGGTTATTTATGAAAGTATCAAACTTTTTTTTTTTCTCTTTTCAGGCAAAAGAGTCTTCCTCAAAACCACCGACTGTTTCCTCCAAGCAGTTACATCCATAGATCGAACATTAAGCACATCCTTTTTCCTAAAGCGATCTATCTTGGCCTTAGTCAGTTTAAGTTCAGAGGTCCAGAAACATTTATAAGTCTTTTGATTTCCTCTGGAGATATTTCTTTTGCCACAACGGAGGAAGATTTCACACAAGATATCAATTAGTTTAGAGGAGCGTTTTCAGAAGTCTAGCTTCTTAAGGGCTAAGTCTTCCTCAAGTTAGGGAAATGACTCCATTTAGCCCTGCGAAAATTCCATGACATCCTATTATAGACAACAAAGCTAGATTTAGGTATTTGTAAGCAGACGCAGGCACTAACCTGTGTCTATGGCCCGATCTTGATTCTAATTTCAATGACCATCCTCTTCGCAGATACTCCCATATCAGCAGAAACACAAAAGAGGTCAGGAGTTGTGAGAGTTTCATTATAAAGAAGAAATAATTTAGGGTCGGATATATTGTAAATAAGCATAAGAGTACTCAGTTCAGTAAATCCTCGACCTCTTTTCCAGCTGCATTAGACCCCATTGTTTGACATACAAAATTTAATGAATTAAATTCCTACCTACAGGGCATGGAAGATGCTGATATATTTGCAGCGCATGACAAAATTCGAAGATTCCTCAAAAATTTACTTTTATGGGGGAAAAATTTGAAGACTACAAAAATGAGAGCTTTGAAACATATCAGATTTTTATTATCGAAAATAATGCAAAATAATGCTTTCTGATAGCAAAATTACCAAGATCTCAAAATATTTGAATGTATTGAGAGAAAATTTTAATTTTTACTTTGCTGAAGAAATGATGAACTGCTAAGAGAACTGGATTCCGCATCCCTTCCATGGTAACATTTACTACTGGCATATTGTCGAAAGCTAATGAGTTTATCAACTTATTCGAAAATACATTATTGAAACTGAATTTTAATAGTTGTATACTGACATAGTTTTGGTTAATTGTCCCACAAATTTATCCTTATTTTTTCTATGATGATTTGAAGGTGTTACGGCTATTTGCATTTTCATACCTTAGTGAAGTTGACTTTTTGATAATGGTGGAAATTAAACCACGTATCCAAACACGATGTAGTTGTCGAAATCCTTGCGTCTGAAAATGAGCTGATCTGGACATTATTGCCACCATGAACAGCAGTCGAAAAATTAGCGCACCCTTCACGCATGCCTCATTAGCCAAAAGGGCCAACATTCCCGGAAGGGCTATTAATTCCTTTCTGGCATTTTGCGTTGATTCATTATAAACGGAGAATCACTTTTTAAATTGTTGCCACCAAATATTAGAGCCCTGTGTTATATTTAAAGAAATTAATTAATATAGAATCTGCATAAATGTATGTATGTTTCTCGCATAATGATAAGATAACGATACCTAGAGCCATCAAATTTTCAATAAAGTTCGTCTCCATCGGAATATGGGCATCTGGAAGCCCAAGTTTGAAATTTGTTTTATTATCTATTTCATATTTTGTAAAGCATTTATGAGTTTTTGATTAAGAAACTCAGCGATTTCAAAGCGAGCAACGGCAGCACTGTACGGGGGAAAATTAATAAATAAATAAAAATAAGAACAAAAACCCCGCTTTTATCTCCATCGCGTGAGACTATGTATCGGAAATTCTAAAGATATACTCTTTTAAGTATTTTGTGATATTGCTGTTGAATTGAATTTTATGGTTTAAGTGCGAAGAACATGATATTTAATAAATAAAGATAACACAAACATTAAAAAAAAAACACCCCTTTGGGCCTAATATAAAATCTGAAAGCTTTCACATCTTTTTAGTTTATATATATATATATATATATATTTGTAAAATTATATTTAATAATAAAGATTTTTTCCTTTACAAAATTTCCTTTTTGACCCATAAAACTTCTTTCCGAAAGAACGTGTTGTTTGCCCCTGAAAAATTTCAGTGCGCCGAGGATGAAGTGGCTCGCTATAAATTGGGTTTTTTCTAAAACGTGGGTGGTAAAGTTTAAAAGTTTCGGTACTAGCTGAGCTAGATTATTGCTTTGCTTCTTGAATTTTTTTAAACGCAATTTCGTTACTTGCAATTATTACACATATTATAACAAGTAAAAAAAAAAGAGTGCCTTAGCTGTATAATTATTGCTTAGTAATTGAAACATGAAAAATTACAAGAACTAAGAAAAGTATTTTTATTTTACAAAGAAAGGTAAATTGCAGATAAATGACTTTTCATACAAGAGAAAAGGAATTTCCCAAGATTCACACTAGATGGCAGCACTAGGAGAATTCCTTTTAAGAAAAATTTTATACAATCCAGCTATTTTACACATACATATATTGCACAACATATAAATATCATCACTGAAAATAAAAAGAAGCTGCATAGAAATTATTTCAGTTAGATGAATAATAAATAGGATAACCGTGTGTTATAGCGACAGACACTGAAAGAAAATCCCCCCCCCCATCCGCGATTAATTGCTGACTGACAATACACCGTATTAAGCCCATCGTGCAGACAATATTATACTACTTAACAGTTATTTCACCGATTTTTAACTGTTTCTTACACCATTTAAAGGACGGGAGTTCTTCGCAAAAATATGTACACCACAATGTTTTTAGAAATGATAACCGGGTCAATTTATAATAAGAAAGCTTTTCTTCTCTCTCCAACTTTTAACAATGCACCTCCAAATGCTTTCACCACTGATATCTATGTGCATTTTATGAACATTTTCTCCTGTTCTGCTAAGGGTAGGCTCACAATATTTCCATAAGGCAAAACGGGATAATGGGAAACATAAACAGGGCGAAGATTAATCATGACAAAGAAAGATCACAAACTTTTATGATATAAAGATGTCAAATTTACTATTATTTTTTTCACTAAGAAAACTTTTTAATAATAAAAATTTAGATACGTTTAGAGATAGATGGATTATATCTTGCCACGACTGATTACAAATATTCTCGTATGCTTACTTTGCGTATGCCTTTCTACACTTTGTTATATACTTTTCATACTCCATGATAAATTTTTATATAAAAATTTCACATAACTTTCATACCCTAATGGTTGACATGAACTTCTCCCAGTTTCATTCCGGAAAGAATGAATTCCATAGCATTGCGAAAAATTTTGAAAACACTGGCAACTGTCGCTTAGTTCAAAAACATTCTGTACTCATCTCAAATACAAGAATGTTACGAATGGTATTTTTATTCCATAGAATCAATTACCTCTCATTTTTTAATAATTCTCTGAATACTGTGGACGTCAGAACAAACTATCTACACACTAGCTCAAGTGTCATGAAACACAGTTGATTCGTTAGCGCATATTTATAATTTTTACTGCAAACGGGACAAAGCTGTCATTTTAATAAAAATGTGGGTGAAGCTTATGAAATGCCGGAAAAAACAGTACGTGTGGTTAGCCTAACTACATGATGTAATGCCTTTTACTTGAAAGGTTACTAGTTGAAAGAAGAGTTCAGCTTGAGCCGTATTTAACAGAATTTATGTGCCGCCAGTGCATAGGATATAAAAAGCTTTCTAAGTCGCATTAACAACAACTGCAGAAATTACATGCGCTAAATTTTATGCTAGAAATAAATATAAGCGTGGTTTTATTACATATTACTCTTTTTCAGTACTTTCTTATAAATTACTTTTTTAAAAATCTGAAATTAAATACTTTTCAAAACTAATTTATTGAAATTAGTTTACAGTTTTTGTTATTTTTGTGCTTTCTATGTTGGCGATTTTTTTTCATGCCACACAGTTTGTGCTTGGCGATTTTCTTTCACAGTGGCCGCTACAACATAGACGTTCCAATAATGCATATCTAAATACAAAATTCTTAAGAGTATAAATGGATAAACTAATTTCGCATTTAAGTTGTTGAGTAAGGTACTAGTATACGTAAATGGATGATGAGTGACTAAAATCTATACAGAAGAATATTTTTTCTATTTATTATAAATATTCTAAAAATATTATGTAACAAAATTAATAATTACAGTGAACTAAAATTTAAAAAATTCATTTACTAGTATGCCTTTTCGGTCACTCACGCGGTATAAGAGAAACCATTTCTTTCCCAGATGCTCCTTTAGTTATACGTTGAGAGCAGGACTATACCTCTACAATATGCTACAATCGTCTTCTATTCATAATGCCAAAAGTGTATTTTTCAAGTGAGGCCAAATGTGGCTAATGTTTAAATCATATTAAATTCTTTATCTAAAATAAACTTCCTTCATTTATTGAGTGGAAAGATCAGCATCTTTAGATTTCTATTTAAGGAATGAAAAATTCTCTGTTATCTCCTCTCTAGGAGAGATGCGTCTATTTCTAAAAAGTCCCCTAAAGTAGAAAATACGCAACCAAAATTTCCTTCCGCTTTTTGCCCTCGCAGACTAAACAGCTCTCTTTCTCGAAGTTTTCCTTTGGCAACTTCCGGCTTGTGCATTTGCCTCGTCCGGAAGTACGGCCGGGCGCAAAATTCCCCGTTTACTGGGCTGTGTGTGTCCGCTAGCGTTGAAATCTCAGGGGCAGCCGGGTTAGCGTACAAGTTCTCCCGCCTAAAGATGTTTTTCCGCCGGGATTCTTAATGCTACGATCAAGTAATGGTTTTCCGGAGTGGCAATGGATCCATTGGGCTTGAGTCTGACCGTAGTGGCTTTATTTTTTTACCACTCCACTTCGGGCTTCTAGGAAAGAGGCTGTCTTGTGGGATTCGCCTGCTACTAATTTATAATAAATGAATAAATCTGTCAGAAACTTATTATACAAATTATTGCGTTCCATCTGATTGAGATACATTTTCGCAAGTGCCAAAATTTAATCATACCTTTACATTTGAACTCATTAGATAAGATAGAATATTTTCAACAACATCTTGTAATTTTTATAAATGCATAAAAAAAAGTTTTATTACGTTTTCGAAAACTATGATTTTGCCAACTTAATTTCTCTTCCAAAAATTTAATTTTTCTTCGTTAGTTGCAATAGCCTTAAAATCATTTACATAAGTGTTTAAAAAACTTTCTTGAATTATCAGCATAAAGCTTTGGAAACTTTTTTAAAAATAGAATTATTTTAGTTTTATGTTAGGACTCGGAAGAAACTCGACATTTTTGCTTGTACGAAGTAAAGGAAGTATTGTAATCGCGAAAATTTTCGGGTATCATATTTCAACGAAAATATCCAGTTTGACCTCTATACACTATAGAATGAGATGAAACAGATTAGCTAAAAATTATGTGTTATCAGAAGATTAGTTAGCATTTCCATTCGAAATGTTTCCATTGAAAAGCAAATATTTTATCAGACGAATGTCAGGGCGCTTGAGACTTCGTTCATGTCTCCAGCTAAAGTTTTTATACTCACTAATGATTTTGTTGACTTCCTTAACAATTCTCACGAAGTCTGTAAAAGTTCAGAAAATACCGTCTGCATTGATTTTATACTGATAGCTGTGAGTCTTAGATTTTCATGGAATACAATTCGACTCAGTTATATTGATAGTGATTTGTCCATTGTTTTTTTAACTTTTATTTGGAGGAATAGATTTAGTAAATTTGATCGGCAAGAGTATTTCTTGAGTCTCTGAGATCAAATCAGTACGAATTTCCAATCAATTGGAGGGAATTTGGGTTTTGCTCAGATGTTACGTTTGAGATGATTTGGGTTTTTTGGGCAGTGTTTATAGGTGGAAGCGTGACTTAAGCCATAGCTGCAGCAGAGTAGAGTTTTGATATCCATTTAGCCTAGCAATCAAAACACGGGAAAAAGTATTTAGCTTTATATGATCTGAATGCTTTAAAACAAAATCCGTATATTAGATTTTACATGTCTCGCGTATATGTTCAAGTAGTCCAAAAGCTAGCGGTAAATTTATATGTTTGAATAACAATTATGCAATAAAAACTAAACGTTTTTTCCATTATATTTAAAGTGATGGGCTACATTAAACTGTGTTATGTAATTATTTTCGTACTTTAAATAAATAAAAAAAATTATTTGAAAATTTACTTTGTTTTTTATTTCTACTTTTTGTTAATTTAATTTCATTAATTAAATTACTTTTCATTGATTTCATTAATTAACTTCTTCGGAAGGAAATTTAAAAGAATGAACTTTGTTAAAAAGTTTTTAATAAATGAACTATAATTCTAGAAACCAAATAAATAAATTAACGCAAATAAATGAGAAATAAGTCTGGAGTGTCATACGGAATTCATGAAAGCTTTTCTGTTACGACGAACGCAAAAGTCGTAATTAACGTCTAAGTTACAGTTCAAAAAA